AGTACTTGCTAATATCCTACAACAATAATACGACTCATTTATAATAGCTAGATTCGTCATACGACCCCCTCGAAATACATACCACACCATAACACTTTCAATACCATACATCAGTCTTCAGTAAGTTTTAAAAAATAAATAAAACCTTGTAAACTTACTTTAGACATAGAATGTGTAATTAAACAATCCATATCTGATTGCATATGCCAAGATATAACACGAGCAATGTCATCATCTTCCACATAAGCAAGGTGACCAATCTAAATATTAAATTTTTAATTAATGTTCATTTCTTCAAAAGTTTTTTTATGTAAATATGTAAATAAATTAATATACAAGTGTTGATCATTTAATTTGTGAAATAATACTAGATTTTTCCTTATTGTCATCTTGTACATTATTTGAAGATTTGTGTCATGCTTGAAGTACTTCCCTTTGACATGTACTGTACATACTTCTGCCATCTCCACATCCATGCATCATATACTTTCTGGAATCTAGTTTTGGACATATGTTGAAAAGTTGTCATTTTGTGCCTCCTCATCACATGTGAAGCATTGCCTTTCAAGACTTTCTTCAGTGATGAAAACAAAAATTGCAAAGGGTTAAGACTAGTGAATGTATGGGATATTTCAAAACTTCTACTCTAACTGTAATATTGGCTGTCTAGCATTATCACAATGCAAAAACCACTTCACATTAACCAGTACTGGATATTTTTCATGAAAGACATGACCAAGTTTTTTCTAAGAATCTTAGTGTATCCTCAAGGTACAAAATTGTATTTGCACATTGTGTACTTCAAGGAATACAGATAAAACAAAAACCATTTGAGAAACATAGTTCTTGTTTCAAAATAATTGTCAATGACAAACTATTAATAAAGGATGTACAAATGAAATCAACATGACAGGACCTGATCAGCACCTATGGAGGCTGGCAACTGACACTCTTTCTCAAAAGATTGTGTAGAAAAAAATGTGGGAATAATCCTAGAAATTAAATGATGCATATTTTAATCTATTTTTATTTTTAAAAATATTACATACTTTTCCAAGAACACCAGGCTCATCAGCAGCTACTGTGAGAGAACATTCTCTTCTTTTTGCTTTTTCTAATTTAGTTTTGGCCACATGGCATTTTTCAATAGTTGCATTAATCTGAAGAATCTGAAAAGTAAATTAAATTAACATAATAATTAAACAGTTAAAAAAATCTTATATTATTGTTCAATGCTTTTAACAATACGGATTTTTTTACTTGATTAAAATTTTCAATTTAACAACTGTAAATAATAAAGATGAAAATATCACACCTACAAAACAAATTAGATAGATATAGAAAGTTGCACTTTGATATTAATAAGTGTTCTGTCCAATTCTTTTTCAGGCTATCAGAAATTTCCTATGATTTCTGTGTTTAGAAAATGCTATTGATTGACAAATCAATATAATTAAATAATAATTATGCTTATACACAAAACATATACAGTTTAAATAATTAAGGAATAATTCACTATATATAATTATTAATAAAAATTTATGTAATTTTAAGTACATATTCTGAATTATAAGATGCATTCAAAAAGTTACTTCATGGCATTTCCAAATTATTGCACTTAATGTAGATAATCAGCCTACCTAATCAGAACATTGTTATTAAATATTTATAAAAACTTTACATAAAGATAAAAAATTTATTATCTCTAAAGCTAAGCACATTCAATTATAATAGTATAAGAACATAAAATTTTAAGAAATAAAAATACGCAAGCTTATTATTTTTGAATTATTTTTGTTTTCTAAAATGCATTTTATACTTGTACCATATAATATTTAAATAAGATAATATTCATCATTGTCTTTTTATAAATTTCTTTGTGTTTCAACCACAATTTCCTAAGCCTAAATTGAATCGTTTGATCATTTAATAGGTGATTTAAACTTCAGTCAATCAGCTTTTCAAAGTTAGCATCCACAACCTACAAAGTTTCCCTATGTTAAGAATACACTGGCTCCACTAATATGAACACAAACAAGTACAAATAAAAAGTTTTCATCCTACTAGAAAACCTTTAAACTTCTCAATAACTAATGTTCCAAAAGAAAAAATAATAATAATACAAAATACAAATCAATCCAAATTTAAAAATTGGATGCATTCTCATTCTGAACATATTCTCTATTAAAAAACATAAAATATTCAATTCTTTTGGGATTTATTACTGACAATCCTAAAAATGATAAATTTTAAAATTAATAAAAGAATTTTGTTTCTAGAGATGCTTTACTCTTCCTATATAAGAACTTTTATATAATACCTGGTAACACTCTAAAACAGAGGTCAAACATTTTTCACAGCAGGCCACATAACTGAGAGAATGACAAGCACGAGCCGCATAACCATTTTGTTCTATACAGCACACTGAATATACAAAAAATAAAGACAACCAACATATTTATTTACCAATATACAAACACAATTGCTGCAGCAAGCTTGTAATCACTTTTCTTAGAAACCTCATTGCAGGTACTTACACAAAAAGTGCTCTGATATCCAAAGTTGCAAAAAGTCACCAAATTTTTTATTTCACTGATTTTCCTAAAAATTATATTACTGTCAGATGCAAAAATCAGATTGGAGCAATTTTGGCATTTATACTTACACTTATTTTAATTTTTTCTACATAGTAAGTTTATCTACAATCTATGATATTTGTGGCACAGTGCAGCAGCGGACCGGATGAACTAACCTTGCAGGCAGTAGTTTGGTGACCCTTGCTCTAAAACATTAACTTCCATGTCTTTCTAATCAGTTTGGTTGTTTCAAATTAATGCAACATAAGCAACAAATAAAAAATTTTAAAAATGAATAATTTTATATAATATTTTAAAATATTAAAGTATTAATTATATGAGATATGTTAAATACTATTAATGTGTTTTTTTAACACGTTGTCTTCTTAGAGAAGGCCAGATGCCAAGACAGTAATGACATTAGCCTATCACTCTTATGATCCAGGTTCAAGTCTGGATCACAAACCTCAGAAATTTTTTGTAGGTGGTCTATCCCAGATAAATTGGGCCTTATTCCTCACCATCTAGTTTCCTCCATTATGGGCATGGCAGAACCCATGACAAGAATAGAACAGACTTTCTTAGTGCCCATAGGGCAAAAACAGTAAAATAAATATAAAAAAAGTGCTTTATATTCAAAGCATTCCATTTAATACAATGATTATCCTTAGCAAAATCATATGTTAAATATGTTGGTGTAAATAAACATAAGTAATTGACTAATATAAAATGTTTAAAATAAATAATAAAAAGTATACCATAATAATTTCTATATTATTTGTTAATTTGCACATCGACTAGTGAATGTATGGGATATTTCAAAACTTCTACTCTAACTGTAATATTGGCTGTCTAGCATTATCACAATGCAAAAACCACTTCACATTAACNCTGGTAGATTAGGTGTGCAACGTAGAATATATTCTTTTCCATTAACACCAGGTGTGTTTTCCAGAATTGTCAGATGCTGTATTTAAAAAAAAAAATATATATATATATATATATTTAGTGAATTTTTTTCAGTACTAAATTGTATTACATATTATAAAATGAAAATTATACTACAAAAAGAGTAAACTGGATAATATGATTAAAATTTGCAGCCCGGCATTGTGATGATGTCACAATAAATAATTTCTTGTTTAATTGTAAAATTATGTACCATGTATAAAAATATTTATCAGAATTTACTTACTTCCAGAAAAGCTTGACCTCTTGAAATGGGTACTTCAATAGATGTCACATTTCCAACCATACGGGGAATTTCACCAGGAGTAGGAGCAGTAATTTGTACATTTAAAGTTCCACTTAAAAGAAGACCTGCTAAATTATCATACTGATCCTAAAAAAAAATTATTTGAACAAACATATATCTATATAAACACAAAAAGTTAAAAATTAATTTTTATGTACTGTATAGTATACTACTACTACTACTACATTACTAGATACTATATTAGAGGCAGTCTCTGTTTGTTTGTAACATGTAGTAGACCAAACGGGGGTAAAAGTCATTAAAATGCAAATCAAATTAGCTGTTACATGATTTTTCCATGAGGTGTGTTTTGTGCTAGCGAATAACACCAACTGAGTGTGAAAATCATCACCTGACTAAATATAGTGACTAGTGGAGAAATATATACATCTCATCTCTCTGTTACCCTAGTTTACATGTGCCCTATGAGTGTGTATCATATGCAATTTCTATACTTTTCTTGATAAAAGTATTTAATATAGCATTCCAAGCCTGAGTGATCATCGTAGTTATAGGAAGCCAAATAATAATAAAAAAAAAACGTAAACATTGAGATGCTTGAAATAATAAAACATTTTGAAAGAAACAAGAGCATATATGACATTCTATGTGCAACAGACCTAAAGGAATCTACAGTGTGCACTATCAGAGACAATACTGTAAAAATAAAGGAAACTTGTATAGTAGAAACAATTGTGAGTGCTGCAAAATCTAGTAGAAGATCTAGAGAAACAAAAAAAATGTAAAAACTTTTAAGTTTAGTGTTAAGTATCAAATATGAGACAAAGACATAATCAGAAGTAAGCTTTCTCACAATTAAACAAAACACATTAGCTATATATAAAGACCTTAAAATCTCCAAATCCTGCAGAATTACCATCTTTTGGTGATAGAAGCAACTGTTTTAATAGTCTCAAACTTTTTTCCCACAATGTTAAACTGCTGGCAAAGCCTTGAGTTAAGACATGGAAGCTATGAAATCATTTCCACCTGATTGAAGCAACTGATTGAAAAAAAGATAACTACACATTGGATCATGCTATTTCAAAAGCACTTTATCATCAAAAAATCTGGACTGTGTGATTTTACTGATATATAGTCTTTATCAGCTGATTTTGTACTTTAATTTGCAGTTTAGTAATTTTAAAATTTTAAAATTACTTCTTTTCTTAATTTTTCCATACAGTACAGATTAGCATTACAAAATATGAAGTGTATGAGAAAAGTAATGAAATTGGCATCACTGAGAGCAATCTGGCAACATGCAGGCTTCCCTTTCACGTAGCTTGTATGTCAGTCCCTCCTACAGTTTCAACCTCATGCAGTAACTATGCGATTGTAGAGAGAGTGCTAAGTGAAGAGTAGATGTTCAAGGTTCTCTTTAGAAAAAATTTATTGGAAAAATCTCAACCAAATTTGTATAGTTTTAATTTTTGGAAAAAATTTTACTTCAAAATTCAGCCACTAGGATGAAATTTGGTACTTTTAATGTGAATGTTACATATGTTTTCTAACAAATTTTGGGAGTTAAGAAATTAAATGCAATAATTTTATTTCAATTACAAATGTGGTTACAGATGTGAAATGTAAAATTGATGATTAGATCAAAAATATGGTTCTATACATGCTCCATTTCCATGCTCTAAAAATTGCATTTGCTGCACAATACACTTGACAGCAGAATGTAACAGTGCAGAGTTGTTGCACATTATGAAATTCTGTATAAAAATGTTAATGTATAAAATGTTCACATTAAGGGAACAGTAGTACCATATTTTCTCTTAACAGCTGAATTTTGAAGTAACATTTTTTCCTGAAAATCAAAACCAGATACTTGAGAAATCTCAGCCAAATATGGTGTACCAAAATTGCCCAATGTTCTCTCTATAGAGAGCTCTGAACACCTACTCTTTAATTATGATTACTCTGTATATAAAATTATTCCTACCATTATAAAATAGAAAATGAATATCATATGGTGGAACAGTTATCCCAAGAGGTAAATCTGGTAGATTAGGTGTGCAACGTAGAATATATTCTTTTCCATTAACACCAGGTGT